GCTTTGTGTCCAGGCCTTTGCTTCTTTGCCTGGGTGGAACATGGTATGGGTTTTGAATTTTATTTCTTTAGAGTACTTTGGATTACCCTCCCCTCCCCCTTTCCTGAGTAAAAGATGTTTTCTCTATTATGTTCCCATTTGCTGCTTCAATCCACTCACTGTAGAGTGTTCATAGCAGAGCCCCAGGCACCTGGGTCTTGCTTTGCAGTTAGCATTGGAATAAATTAAAAGCTGCCCTAAGTGGCAGCAAATGGGGGAGGTTGATTAACTAAGAATGTGATACCCTGAGGCCACAACATTGACATTTATAGATTTTAAGTAACAGGCAACAAACAAGTACTCTTACTTGTAAGCTCATTGAATATCAAAATGGGTATAGTAGCTAAAAGCTTAGAATTGTTTACTGAAAAACAGTTTCCAAAGCCATTGACCAGCTTTGTAAATTGCTTACCCATGTCCTTTTAGTGTGAGCTCTGATTCCAGGCCCATAAATCACCCTGTCACATGAAGCTAGGTTCTCTTGGGTTCTCTGTGTGCATTACTTGGCTTCATCATGAATTCATTTATTCAGGCGGAAAACCACTACTTATCAAAGGCTGATTAGGGGCCAGGCCCAGGATCCTGGTACAAGCCTGGGGGAGGATGAGAGAGTAGGAGGTTACCCTGGTCACTTTGTGTTCAGAGTCTCCCCATCTGATCCAACCTGAGCACTCACCGGAGATGGAGGGTACTGGGTCACCCAGTTCCCACCAAGACCATTCCTTAGTCTTGTGGTTAGTGCCTCTGTCTCCTTGCCCTGTCTGTCCATCTGTCTGCTGAAACCATCAGATCTGGATACTGAGACAGATCATACCTGGAGATGCCCTTTCCTGGAAGCACAAATTCATTATCTTTTAGTTGTTGAAGTCAGAATTTCAACAGTGAGTCTTACGTGGGGCTGAAATCAAGGTGTTGGCAGGGCTGGCTCCTTCTGGAGGCTCTAGGGGAGAAATGGCTTTTTGTCTTTTCCAGAATCTAGAGGCTGCCTACATTCCTCGGCTTATTGGCCCCTTCTAGAGCTCCATCTTCAAAGCCAGTAGTGTAGCATCTTTAAATCCATGTCAGTGTCAAGCCAGTAGTGTAGCATCTTTTATTTTTTTTGTGTGTGTGTAGCATCTTTAAATCCATGTCAGTGTCTCTGCCTTATACTTCTGTGGTCATATCTCCTTCTCTGATCTTCCGGTATCCCATTTATAAGAACCGTGATTACATTGGGCTCATCAGGATAATCCAGAATAATCTCCCCTTCTCACGTTCCTAAAACTTAATCACATCTATGTAGTCCTTTTTGCTATATAAAGTAACTTGTGTTCTGGGAATTGTGATGTAGATGTGTTTTGGGGAGGGGATGGGAGTATACCATGGAGTATAAAGAAAACAGTAGTGCCTTGTGGCTAGCCTGTGCATGCCATTTCTCATGTGGTTTCTGAGGGCTCTGGAGCAGCAGGAACATTATTTGGGTGTGAACTGAAGATAGCCTGGTGGAGCATCTGTCTGATGCATGTGCTGAGAAGACATGCACTGGACAACTTCCAAGATGAAAGGTCTTCTAGTACAAACAGAAGCTGGTCCTTGCCATAGAACTGAGCTCTGTACTCTGTTGCCTCTGAGCTCAAGGACCAGCCTTGATTTTTTGTGGAATCAGAATTACCATTTTGCATGTACATTGGCAGAAGTGTCATGCCGGTCAAGTTGTGGAGGGTGGATTATGATACTTCCATCAAATGAGTATGCAGGTAGATCTGTGTGTCAGGAACACAGTATGATGGAGCTAGACTAAAGTGGGAAACCCATGAAGGGAACAGGACCTGGCTGATGGGAAGGGCATTCTGGGAGCACTTCCAGAACACCTGCTGAGCTGTAATGGAGTACCTAGAAGAGTCTGGCTGGTAGGGAGAGAAGTGGCTGAGAAGATAGGCAGAAGCCACATCAGGAATGTTCTACAAGGACAGGGAGCTGATGGTGGGTTTGAAACAGAGGAATGAGGATAGATTTATAGACATTATGAGATCACCTAGGTTGTCAAAGCCCCTTGAGATTAGGACCCAGGTCTGGTTGATGGCCAAGTGCCTAGACCTGCAGGGCTTGGGTCAAGGTGGAATGCTCTGTAAGTAGTAAACCGATGCTGTATTCAAACCTCACTGTTCTTTGAGGCCAGCTCACCCGGCCCCCTTCTGAACAGCTCTGCATATAGCACATTCCTTATTTGGAGGGATTAAGTTCTTGTCTGCAGGATATAGCACATATCACTAAGTTGGGCTTCTTTCCACAAAGTTGGGCTTCTTTCCACAATATGTTACTCATTGCAAGTGCCCAATAAATACCTGTTAAAAACATGCTGCAATAGGGGTGCCTGGCTGGCTCAGTTGGGGTAGAGCATATGACTCTTGATCTTGGGATTGTAAGTTCGAGCCCCACCTGGGATGTAGAGGTTGCTTACAAATCTTTAAAAGAAAAATATGCTGTCATAGAAATATGGGGAGAACAAGAACAAAGTGAAAAGCTGACAGTCCTACAAGGTAGGATGACTGGTCTTGACTGGTCATTAGAGTCCTTCATACCTGAGAACATGCTATTCAATGAAATGCATTTCTTTTCGAAAAGCACTTCCTCTACATGGCTTCATGTGGTCCTTCTTAAACCCCTTTCCCAGGGGAAAGTCACATGAGTTATATTTTTAGGAAAATAGTTGAGGAGGCTCGGACCCCATGGCGCAAAGTGGTTTGCCCATGGTCACCAGCAGGAGGATGGAAGGATTGAGGAACTTACCTTGGCTCCCTTGCATTTTTGTTTCCCTCCCATGATGCTCCCATTTCCTCTCTCTTCCTTCAAGCTTCTGGTGTATGCTGTCCTCACTCACCCTTGAGTCATCCTCTGTGAGGTGCTGCCTGTGGCATTCATATACTATATGCTTATTTGATGCTAGCTCTTCACTTCTAGCTGCATATACTTTGTGTGTCACACTGAGGGTTCTTGGAGGGTCAGGGTGTGATTTGAAATTGGTCTATGTCAGGACATCTGAGCGGCTCAGTGGCTGAGCGTCTACCTTCAGCTCAGGGCATGATCTTGGGTCTGGGGATCGAGTCCTGCATTAGGCTTCCTGTGAGGAGACTACTTCTCCCTCTGTCTATGTCTCTGCCTCTCTCTCTGTGTCTCTCATGAATAAATAAATAAATAAAATCTTTAAAAAAAAAAAAGAAATTGGTCTGTGTCCTTTGCATATGATCCATGTGCCCAATTAGTCTCTTTGAAGGAATGAGTTACTTTGCTCCTGAGGACAGGGACTGTGGTTGTTTGCTAGGCTATGTACCTAGCATAATGTCTGGCTCATAAGAGATGGTGAGTGATTATATATCCTGGGGCTTTGTAAGGGAGGAGATGAGTTAGGGTGTGGTTTGGGTGTTTGGGGCGTTTCTAGGGGTTGTGGTGGGGATTGCATTGTTTCCTGCTTGGTTGTGTTACTCTGGTTTTGGCCATCTGGAAGCTGGGCATCCTCTAGTGGCACACTAGAGGTCATAAGGAATTAAAGAGGCATTTAGGATTTTAATAAGAAAACAACTCTTTCCAAAATATTTCAGCTCAGGGGAGGAAATCCAGACTCTTATGTATGTGGGAAAGAGAGGATGGAAACAGGAAAGCTGGAGAAGGAAGGTGAATCAGGAAGAAGGGGAGCCCCAGTAGATCATGGGCTAGTGTACTCTTGATTTAGATTCCTATTGTTGTTTTTCTCACTTGAATTAGAATTCTGTTATGAGTGTGTACATGCACCCGTATGTGCATGCACATCCCTTTCTGCACAGCTGTGCTTTCCTAAGGTTTATCTGAGCTCAGGGATACAGTTTCAGTGAGCATGCCTGGCTTCAGGATAAGAAGCGTGAACATGCCTCCAGCATATGAATGTGATGGGGTTGTGGCCTGAGACCCTGGGCTCCATCAGAAATGTTCTGCACATTGTGTCTCGGTGTGACAATTGCCCATTAAATACCAGGCTACCAGCATATGGTTATCCCCAGCATCCCCTTTGTTGAATGGAAACTTTAGCTGTGTGGTTAGAATATTTTCCCATCATTTAGCATTTCAGAATTCACTGTTTTTTTTTTTTTTTTTTTTTGGAGAATTCTGCAATTAATGCTGAATGGCACATTTGCAGATTATTACAGAAACGGTTAAACCAGAGTCGGCAGATCTGTAGCTGCTCTTTCCCATGATGGCTAAGTGGTGGGTTGGAAAAAGGTGGGGCAATGGGAGGATTCCGGTGCTCCCTCTGTGGATGCTGTAATTAAAGTGGGGAGTCTGGCAGGGTTGTTATCCCTGCTATTAAGAGTGCAGATGGCTAACGGCCACATCACCAAGAGTTAGAGTTAGCCCTTTTAAAGTCTTTTTTTCTTTTTCTTTTATGACCCACCCTATATATTCCAAGCATAGGTATAGATGTAGTGAAGAATTTTCTCATTAAAAGTAATGGCTTATTCCCACACTCATTCCCGGTCTTGGAATGAGAAACCTGTTTCCTTAGACTTGAGGAATTGCCTATCTGTCGTGGCTTAATAGAGCTTTTGGACGAGAGTGTCTGGTAGGCGAATTTTACAACCAATCAGTGCTCAAAGCAGATCCAACTGGAAGGGCTCCAGCTGGCAGCTCATGGTCTCTCTCCCAATTTTACTGTTAATGAATTATTATTTAACCCCCAAACACAGAACAGCATGCTCCTATTGTCTTAGGGGAAGTGAGTGCTCATGATGCTCTTGACCTGGCACTTAGGAATCTCCTGGGCTGGAGGGAGGTTGGCAGCCAGTGGCAGAGAAGGGACACAGAGTGGATGGGAAGAGTGGTAGATATTGCTCGGCAACTGGCATGACCTCGAGTCTTTGCAATCTTGTGTGCGTTTGGACTCTGTGGGGATCTGTGGTGGAAAAGCAGATTGGCTTCTCTCCTCATCATGTTCTCTTGTTTTCCCACAGGGAGTGGGGCCGGCCAGCAGAAATAGTGGACTGTACAACATCACCTTCAGATATGACAGTAAGTAACTGGCTTCACCGCTGAAGAATGGAGCCCTTTCTGTGATCTAAATCTTACACAGTTGTGTTTAATCAAGGACACTGCAGGTCTTGGGGTTGAAGCATTTTCTGAACCTGCTCAGGTTTGTCAATAGACGTAAAGTGGCTCAGTCTAATTAAGCCACTCAAGTAGGTGGGAGCTTGAACAGATCAAGTCCTCTATAGAGTTGGGAGAAATTGTGTATGGAGGACTCTCCCCTACCCCCAGGTCTTCAAGGCATTACCATGTCCTTAAGAACAAAGGCAGATGCCTGTAGGGGGGTGCAGCAAGGGACAAATGAGTGAAGCTCCTCAAGTGCAGGGATGCTAGGAAGCGGTAGGGACTGTGGCAAACTGGACAGCACTTGGTAAGGACTGTGGCAAACTGGGTCTGAAGGGAGCACTGGCTTCTCCCTCCAGCTCATTGTAGCCTTGAGGAGTTCCCCCTGAGGTAGCCAGATGTGATTTTGAAGGAAGAAAGAGAAATTGGCTTTTTTTTTTTTGACTAAATGTTTTTTTAATATTGGCATCTATCTTAAAATGTTCACCAGCCAGATGCCTGGGTGGCTCAGCGGTTGAGCATCTGCCTTCAGCTCAGGGCATGATCCCAGTCCAGGGATCAAGTCCCACATCAGGCTCCCTGTGAGGAGCCTGCTTCTCTCTCTGCCTATGTCTCTGCCTCTCTCTCTGTGTCTCATGAGTAAATAAATTTATTTTAAAATAAATTTTTTTAAAGATTTTTATTTATTTATAAATAAAATCTTTTTTAAAGATTTCTATTTATAAATATTTTTTTAAGATTTCTATTTATTTATAAATAAAATTATATTTTATTTCCCTGAGGGAAGCCCAATGTGGGACTTGATCCCAGGACCTCAGGATCATGACCTGAGCCAAAGGCAGATGCTCAACCACTGAGCCACCCAGGTGCCCAAATAAATAAAGTCAAATAAATAAATTAAAAAAAAATGTTCACAAGCACAGAGTGGGCCCAGTGAATGTGTGTCTGTGTCCCAGATTGGCCCAGGGCATCTCCAGTTGGCCATCTCAGACTTGGGCCTGGGTTTCAACTGTAGTGCCCTACCTGTCCGCTGTGAGCTGTGGCAGGAGACTTGACTTCTATAAGCCTCAGCTTTCATGTCCTGTAAAATAAAGATTAGTTTCTTCCTCAGCATCATGTTGAGGCTTAAATGAGGCAATGCTTTTAACTGCTAAACTTAGTTGGCCTGTGATGTGCACTCAGTAATTGATATCTGCCAATATCAGCAGTCATTCCAACTGGAATTGGAATACAGCATCTTTTTGGCCCTTTCTCTCGAGGAAGTGTGGCTTTGTCTGGCTGAATCGTTTCCTAAGGGCAGGGTGGGGTGCTTTTTTCTGATTGAGCATACAGAATCCCCCTCAGCAGCTGCTTTCATGCTTAAGAAGGTAATTATATAGAATTGTGAGCATTTTAGCCTTATGAACCATAATTTATACGTAAAAATGTTAACAAGAGGGAGCTTGACTCCTGTTTAGTAACTCCTGACATTTGATTCATCTCTTGGAGAAGATTATGAATCCATGTAAGTAATGGGTGTGGGTCACAGTGAGGCTTCTGAAATGATCATTGCTAAAGCAAGATTTTTGAGGTTGTGTATACAATCTAACAATTTTAAGATACAAATATGTGTGTCCAATTTATGTCCACAGTTGCTGACGTGAGTACTTTAAGTTAACCAATGAGGACTTCTATTTGAAACAGATATTTCATGTTAGTGGTGTGTTTATGCTCTGGGTAAATGTTATAATGCTAATGAAAGATTTGCAAGTCCATGATACTTAATTCAGCTAAGTGAAGACATATGTAAGAGATCTCTCTTTGAGCTACAAAGTTAATTTCTAATATATGCTCTTGGTCCTGGCAGATCTTGTATTACATTCAAGAGTTCAAAATTTTCTGGTCAGCTGCAAACAAGTATTTGCAGCTCTAATTTAATATGGGGTTTTGTGAAAGAGAATCTGTACCTGTAAAACTTAAAAGTATCTTATTGTTTCCTTCATGGGACTAAATATTTGGCCCACGTGCATGATGCCTGCCTCTTAGTCATTTTCTTTCTTATTCTTCAGCATTTAATTAGAATTTAATTCGCAACTCGAATTGACTCCCGAGACATCTGAAGCTCGGTTGCATTTTGGCGGAATGTCATTTGGGCATAATTTTTTGGTAACCAGAATCCAAAATGTTAGAGTTGCTAATAATTGGATCCAGGTTTGTATAAAAAATTTATTCATTGTTTTCCATTGAAAAGATATTTCTTTCTCTCTTCCACAAGGAAGTTTCTGTTATTGCTCGGTTGACTGGTTACTAGTTGTTTGAAATAGCTAAGAACCAATTACCAAGTTTTCACCAAAAGCATGAAACTACAAAATCTTGTTTTTCTACTCCTTTGATGTTATGAAGAAAGAAAATGTCTTGCCATTAAGTCAAAAGCTAATTTCACAGGTCTCCATGTCTCCTTTCACGTGACATTTCTCATTTCTTCTTCAGGCTCTGAGGGGGTAATGCCTGAGTAGGTTGTAATACATTTTCTTAATTCTTAGACTTTATATTTGCATAATTATATTTACAGAAACCTGGAGAGTGCTAATTTTGGTGTTAGGAATGAACAAAGGAAAAAAAAAACATGATTTACTCTTGTTCTTGCATCTTTTCCTAAAAGCTGTTTAAGTCAGAGGTTTCAATAAATGAAAATGTTTGAACTTGGGGAGCCTGGCTGGCCCAGTCCAGTAAGCGTCTGACTTTAGCTCAGGTCATGATCTCAAGGTCCTGAGATCAAGCCCCATGTTGGACTCCCTGCTTAGCGAGGAGTCTGCTTCTCCCTCTTCCTCTGTCCCTCCCTGCTGCTTGAGCTCTCTCTCAAATAAATAAATAAATCTAAAAAAAAAAAAAAAAGTTTGAACTTGACAAGTGTGATGGGATTTTGTCTTTTTTTTTTTTTTTTTTTTTTTAATATTGGGAAGCTAGTTTCAGCCAGGATTTTTTTTTTGCAGGCTGACTCCAATTCAGAACTTACTGTAGTAATAATCTCTGTGCTGAGGATAGGGATGGCTATCCACCCAAGGCTGCTTTCTGTCCTGACCCTGGTCTGGTCAGCAGTGGAATCCAAAGCCACCCAGCTGGTCCCTTAACTGCAAAACGTTTCCTTATTTGTACAATATGGGTGTTAAACCACATGTTTTAAATTTTTTTTCTTTCCTAAAATTCTCTTCTGCACCCAGAGAACACATGTTAAATGCTTCGAGTGTCAATTTTCATTAGGGTAGAATTTGGTTTTATTAATTATTAACATCTTTTCAAAAGAAGTAATATTGAAATGTTGAGGTGGCTGCTTTTTAAACAGATGGAGTTTGCAGAAAGGGGTCCACTTTGTGCTGAGAGGCAAGAGAGCAGGATCCAAAGCAATGTAGGAGCTCGGAGTTAGCAAAATGAGAGGGGGTGCGTTGTAGTGCATATGTGTGTTGAAATTTAATAAGAAATTTAAAAAGGAGGAATATTATGTGCATATTAAAAGGCTTGGAAGGATGTTTCTTAGAAGTTGATAGTAGTTACCATTGTGTGGTGGGAGGGCATGGATGACTCCTACACTTTTCTTATGTTCTTTTATAATTTTCAAATATCCAAGGAATGTTTTTAGTCATAAAAGTGGGAAATGTGGGGACATCTGGGTGGCTTATTTGGTTGAGCATCTGCCTTCAGCCTAGATCATGATTTCCGGTCCTGGGATTGAGCCCCATGTCAGGTTCTCTGCTCAGTGGAGAGCCTGCTGCTTCCTCTCCTTCTCTCTCTGCCTTCACCTCCCCCCCCCCATGCTCTCTCTCTCACACACACACTCTCTCTCAAATAAATAAAATCTTTTTTAAAATTTTGGGAAAGGTGTGGCATACAGCAGGGGCAGGGGGAGTGCAGCAGACTCATTGAGCCTGAAAATCCCCCTGTTTCACCTCAAAGAAAAACACCATGACTTCAGAGGGATAATGAGTAGTTTGGATAGTTGATGGAACTGAGGACTTTTTGCAGCAGAGTCCAATGAGAGTTTTCAATTTTAACCATTGAGAAAGAAATGGAGATGAAGCAGTGTAAGAATTTTGAGTTGGTTTTTACCAGGGGTAGCTGGTGTTTCTCCCTGTATGAATGGCCAGAAGAGCTCACAGCCATTCTCTGGAGTCCATTCTGAGTATGGCTGGAAGCTTCTGGCAGCTATTTAGAATCCTGTAGACTTTGAAGGTATCTTTAGAGATACCAGGTATCATAGCTGCTCACATGGTCATGGCTGCATTGACTGCGGGCAGTAAATAATGTTCTCAGACAATATCAGAGAATTGGTCTTCATTTTATGAGCAGTGTGGAGCTCTTTGAATTTGGTGGGCATTGTGGGTGTCTTTGCTAACACATGGTGTTTGGGAACAGAAGTTTTACCTTTGAGATGCTTGTTAACGTTGAAGGTACTTTGCTTGTCACAAAGTCAGTACTGTTGCAGGTACTAATTGGATTGTTTAATAGTCTTGCTGTGAGCTACTCCTTCATGAATCCCATCCTCATACTGCTTCCTTTCCCTGTTCACGTTGCCTCCAAATTTCTTCTAAAAGCAAGCCCCAGACTATTTAGCCATTTGTTTCAAATCACTCTAATGCTGAAACCTGTTGAATTGATGTAAATAATTATTGATTTAAGTAAAGTATCATAATACTAAAAATAATGCCAGATTCATAGTCAAACTGTATATACAGTCACACTGTATGTGATCCTCCTCATGCTGTCCTAGAATTTAACTTGAAGGGCAGGTAATGGTACTGGTCCCATAAATAAATCCTTCTGCAGTATCTTAGTTTTCCAAACAGTCAAACTTTGATGTCCTATTTGGGCTTGTGCAGTACACGTCTTGAGACAGAATGGATTTGGCCACCTCCAGACAGCAGCCCTGTGTAAGTTGAGAAGAATGAACCTGGACATGGAAAAGTAAATGTTTTACATATATTTTTTTTAATTTTTATTTATTTATGATAGTCACACAGAGAGAGAGAGAGAGGCAGAGACACAGGCAGAGGGAGAAGCAGGCTCCATGCACCGGGAGCCCAACGTGGGATTCGATCTCGGGTCTCCAAGATCGCGCCCTGGGCCAAAGGCAGGCGCCAAACCGCTGCGCCACCCAGGGATCCCAGTAAATGTTTTAATCTAACTGTTCTTTGTTCTCCTGACTCTCTAGACTGCACCACTTACTTGAATCCAGTGGGGAAGCATGTGATTGCTGATGCCCAGAACATCACCATCAGTCAGTATGCTTGCCACGACCAAGTGGCGGTCACCATTCTTTGGTCCCCAGGGGCTCTCGGTAAGTGGTCAAAATGGAGTCCACCATGTGGCCTTGGTGGGTAGTGAAGAACGCAAGGGTCCCATTGTGGCAACCTCCAGGGACTAGGCAGATCTTGACATAAGTGTAGGTGTGCTGTGTGCTTGGGCCCAGATACACTTCTTGCTTTGTTGTATATACTTGCTGGGCATGCACAGAACTTGATACTATGCCTATGGCTCATCTTTGAGTCCTTTGGCTGTTACTGAGAGAGATGTGGGTTTGCAAAACAATGGTGTATGGTGATAAATCACACTGAAGCCTTCACCTCTGGGTCTCAGCAGTAGTCGGGGAACAGGTGACCTGTCCGAGGCTATAATGGCCTCAGTATCCAGCATTGGCCATCTCTGTGCCCATATGGATATCCAGGCACAGCACTGGCATATGTTGTGAGTTTTCAGGAATATTCCAGTTTTCATAAAAACCCATAACATCAATTCTTAAATGTTGGCAACAAACTGAATTTATTTAAACTATGTGGGCTGAGAAAAACCAAAATGAAGAAACAGAAGAGAAAAAAAACAGAAAAAAACAAACCCATGTTATTTGGCCAGATTCAGGTTAGGGCAGAGTCTGCTTATCCTCTTTAATAATGAGTTGCTGATATATCAGAGAGGATGGGATAGTTGGATGTGGGATGTGGGCAGGGCCCATTTGTTCAGATGTGCCTGGGTGTGAACCCAGATTCTGTGTTTACAAGAGCCCTCTAACCCTTGCCAAGCCCCGCTTCCACATCTGTAATGCTTCCCCATGTGTAATGTGCAGATGACTGCCTCTTGGTTTATTGTAAGATTTCCAGACACACACATGCAGTATATTTCTAGAAAGAGCTTTTTTTTTTTTTTTTAAGTTTTTATTTAAGTAATCTGTATACCCAACATGGGGCTTGAACTCGCAACCTTGAGATCAAGAGTTGCATGCTCCACCGACTGGACCAGCCAGCTACCCCTAGAAAGAGCTCTCAAAACACAGTGGCTGTTGGGGCACCTGGCCAGCTCAGTTGGTAAAGCATGTCAATCTTGATCTCGGGGTTATAAATTCAAGCCCCACATTGGATGTAGAGATTACTTAAAAATAAAACCTTTAAGAAAAAAAAGTGGAAAAAACCCCTCATACTAGTGGCTACTGTTACCATCATCGGAATCTGGTCCTCAACCTGCTCTTTGACATTGCCATCGAATCTTAGAATTAAAAAAAAAAAATAGCCAAGGGAAAAGTAAAATAAAAGCCTGGATTTCTTAATCTGAACAGGATAAATCTCAGAAAAATCAGACTGCAGGAGAGGTGAGTGCAGAATGAGGGAGGATAGATCAGACACATGGGCCTGACTCACTTATCCTTGTAAATACTGCTGGGTCTGAACGCAACGGGTTTTCCAAAAATAACATTATCTTAACATTTAAAGATAAAAACATTCTCTGTGGATAAACGGGAAGTGGTCATTCCATGTAAGGCTATACAGTTGAGGGGTTGGCCTGACAAATTGCAGGCTCCTTTAGAATGAAAGTAAGGGATGTGAGCGTGTGGTTGGAAAACTAACAGATGGAGCAGTGAGGGCAGAATGTAGTGCTTTTCCTGCAAGGTGATTTGTGGGTGGACAGGTTCTGTTTCTATGAAATTCTTTGAGATTCTATCAGGGAAAACCCTTGGAAGACAGAAGAGCATATGGGTTAAGAACACCAGCTTAGAGCCAGACACTCTTCGGTTTGAATCCCACACCTGCTGTTTAATTTCTGTGTAATCCTGGGCAGATTGTTCAGTGTCTTTATACCTATTTCCTCATCTATAAAATGGGGATTATATCTTCCTCCCATGGATGTTGGGAGGACTCATGAGTTTTAAATGATGGGAAGGAGCAAATAAGTTCCTTCATTGGAAGCTGCTCCATAAAGTTGCTAAACATGTAACTATAAGGCATTCCAAGTATTGTGATAAAGGTGTTACTATGATAGAAGATTTACATTTGCTGCTTCTTCCCACCACCCTCCCCTCCCCCCAGGCTTGGCATCATGTTTTTTCAGGCCAGTCTTTTACAAATAAGGACTAGAACCACCTGCTCCCATCTCAGCTGATAAATTTTTATGAAATTGTGAAATGTACAGTCTTGAATCGTATTAATTACCCAGCTTTTGTTAAACAGGAGCTCTGGGGACATGGCATGAATTAAATCTTCGTATAAATAATGAGGATTTGTTCACTTTTTTTTTTTTTTTAAATCTCAAAAGGCAAATTCCCGTGAGACTGCTAACTGGTTGTTGGTCTAAGACCTTGGATCTTGTTAGCATATCTGAATCTTAGGCTGTGGGTCAGCTGGCTCTCACCCCCACAGGAGGCTTTGTACTTAAGATGTAATGTGGCTGAGTAGGTACCTGCACATTCTATACCATGACCCCTGAAAATCTGAAGCTCTAATTGTAACTCCTTTGCCCTACTCACCATAAAATACGTGTTCTTCATCAAATAATGATAGGATTGGAGAACCTGTTCAAAAAAGATTCCCCTGTCCTTTGACATCAATAATTTTCCCACCTGGTTAATTGCATCCTATGTCATTATGTTTGCCCTGTGAGGGAAGGGGTTGAAATTGTCTCCTCCTGTAGTGTTCAGAAAGAATGCAAAATCGATATTGCGCCAATTGAGGCCGACTTTGGGGATCTGCAGCTGCAGTTGGACCGTTCCAGTTTCCATGGGATGCAGAGTGCTGGTACTGGCTCTTGTGATCAGCAGAGCTTAATCCTCAGGTGGCAGGAGGCTGGGCCAGTGCCTTTCAGCAGCGCTGTGGGCGTCTCAGGGCTTCTGAGGACTGTATGAAGAGCACACACTGGGCAGCCCTTGGGTGTCTGCCTTTCAGGCCTGATTAGAGCAAGAACTGCTTTGTAAATCACATAGACATTCTAAACTATTTAATCTCAAGCCTAGGAACCCCTTGGGTGCAGACACACACTTTGTTAGGAATTTTGTGCATTACTCAGTGAACCATGCCAGCAAATACAGGATGAAAACTTAAAGCGGAAACATGGTTTGGGGGGAGTCCCTCGTCAGCATTGGGAATTATCATCAGCTAAATACACCCTGTCTGATGACCTAGAAATTATATATTACACTGTAGACATTTAGGATCAATTGTGACTTGAGCCTGAGTATTTGAACCCTAATGTCACAGAGGCAATGGGCATTTGTGAAATGGCTGGCTGGATTAGAGGTAATTAATTAGTCATGATGGGACAGAGGAAATCACCTGGCCTGTACTAGAGGAATGCAGGGTATGTGGTTTTTTTCCTTTCTGCAAAACTTGGATATTCTGGCCAAAGTTAGAATTCCTTTAAGTCTGTTGTGTAGATGGAAAGGACGGTAATCTTGGAGGAAGGAAAGTGTGTTCAAAGGTAATTAGGTCCGCTTTTAATAAAAGCATTCTGCTTTGCTTAGGCATCGAATTCCTAAAAGGATTTCGAGTAATACTGGAGGAGCTGAAGTCGGAGGGAAGACGGTGCCAACAACTGATTCTAAAGGACCCAAAGCAGCTCAACAGTAGCTTCAAAAGAACTGTAAGTCACACGCAGAGAATGTGCTCCTGAAGACATGCCACTGTTCTGGGGGTCTGAATAGTCTATTGAATGCCTGTGAAACCAGAGAAGGGGGGCAGTGGGGTCCACCCCTCCTGCCAAGGTGGGCAAGAAATAGCTTGGCTACACCCTAAGCCTGCTCCACACCCAGAGAAACCCTCCAGCACCTCTCGCTGGTAAACACACCTCTCAGGTTACATGTCCTGGAAGGTGGCTTTGTGCTCTTAAGAATGTGTGAGCTCTTCCCCAAAAGCTTTGAGGTTCCGTATTAAGCAGCCATGGCTGCCTTGCTAAAGGACAGGCAGCATTGCTGATCGTTATTTCAGTTGAACGTGGTCCAGAAAGTAGACCCCAGGTCTGGAAGAGTGTCTGGGTGACTGTCAGGGAGGTCTGAAGGTCTTGTGTGTAGGCGGAGGGGTGGGTAATTTCTTCATGGTATCATGTCTATTTTTATTCCCTTTTAGGGAATGGAATCTCAACCTTTCCTGAATATGAAATTTGAAACGGATTACTTTGTGAAGATTGTCCCCTTTCCTTCCATTAAAAATGAAAGCAATTACCACCCTTTCTTCTTCAGAACCCGTGGTGAGTATGCCCTGCTTGCCTGCTTCCCATGATGAGATTGCTCCTGATTCTAAGGACTTTTCAAAGAAATATATTCAAGAGCCCACCTAATACTGGTATGAAATCAGCATGGTTGAGGAGAAAAGCATCCAGAAAAGCAATTCTTGGAATTAAGATTTGGCCTAGGCAGAGTTCACCCAGCTAGAGATACCCATTGGCAACTTATTCAAGAATAGATGTGATGCTTGACTTTTTTTTGGAGGGGGGCGTGCAGCTGCTGTAAGATATATATATATATATATATAATATATATATATATATATATATTTTAAAGATTTTATTTATTCATGAAAGACACAGAGAGAAGGCAGAGACATAGGCAGAGAGAGAAGCAGGCTCCCCATAGGGAGCCCGATGTGGGACTTGATCCCAGAACTCCAGAATCATGCCCCGAGCTGAAGGCAAATGCTCACCGCTGAGCCACCCAGGCATTCCAAGATATCCATATATTCATATATTAAAACTACTTGGGGGGGAAAAACACACACACACACACACACACACACACAAAACTACTTGGAAAAAAAAGAAAAAGCAAGACTAAAAAGTATAAGTTGATTTTGGACACAAAGAGTACAGCATGAAATAATTCCATCTTTTTTAACCTGTCATCAGGAAGGTGGCTTTTGTGAATGCTCATTTTCAGGTTTCCATTAAGACAGCTAATCAGTAACCCCGAGACTGCCTCTTTCTAGAAAGTTAATTTGTTTAACATCTGTGTGTCAGGCCCTGTTCTAAATGCTTTCTAAATACTGACTCAGTTTACCCCCATCTCCACCCTTCAAAGAATTTAATCCTCCCATCTCTACTTATTAGATGTGGAATCACACACCCAGAGGTTAAAGAGCCTGGTGGGAGCTGGGATTTGAACCCAGAAGGCTGACTCTGGAGTCCACACTCCCCAGCCAACTGTGCTGGGTTCCCTTCTCCATCTGTTCTGTATGCGGTGTGCCTTTCCACAACCTGAATCACTGCTTTCAGATTTGGTTGCCCAGGCATCCTGAAGCCTGCAGCCATTCCCTCTTGCCTTCCTGGTCAGGCTTTCTGTCTGGCTTTCCAGGCCCCCAATGTTCAGCTGGCAGTCCAAACTGCCAGCACTTCTATGTGGTCTGATTGCTGGCCTCATCCTCCTCTATGATGTTTTTGTTCTCAACTCTAGAACTCATACTCTGGTTGTTTTCTTTTTTTTTTTCTTTTAATTGTATTAAAAGAAATGCAGCAAAGTTATAACAGTCTCATTTTCTTAAATAAAACATTATTTCATAAGGCAAAGATTATGTACATTCGACATCTCGAATGCCTTACCCGTAACCAATGAGAGGATTCAAATATGTTTATGAAAAGCTCACCTTCATCAGAACTAGTGTAATTTTTTTAAAAAGATTTTATTTATTTATTCATGACACACGCGCGCGCGCGCGCACACACACACACACACACACACACACACACACACACACACACAGGCAGAGGGAGAAGCAGGCTCCATGCAGGGAGACTGATATGGGACTCCATCCCAGTACTCCGGGATCACGCCCTGAACCAAAGGCAGATGCTCAACTGCTGAGCTATCTAGGCATCCCAGAACTAGTGTAATTTAAGATTAATTTTTTCCTATCAAAATCAATGTGTCTGTTTGGGGGTGAGGCAGAGGTGGGAGATACGTTTATCACCATTTCAGTGCACTATGATCTTGATGCTGTCTTTGGTTTTCTTGGTGTTGTAGAAACATTTGCCAGAACGTTCTCCCTGGGTGAGCAGCATTGGCATATTGGACTAGCTGTTTGGCCTCTCCCGTCATGTTTTTTTTTTTTTTTTAATCACATTTAAGCCCTGCTTCAAAGCCCTGTTGGCTTTGGTGCCTAGTGTTCAGTGTTGGTGCTACTACTTAGTAGATGTCTCGATGCCATTTTTTGACTCCCTCAGAGGATTTTAAAGTAGAATGCTAGCAAAGTTTATAATAACCCTAAGATAGTTCCAGAATCACTCCAAAGTTCTCTTGGGCCTAAACACCTGTACAGTGGAGCAGGGCCTGGTTTTATTTCCGTTTATAGTTAAACCGGAACCTCCATGTGGCAGTAGCCTGAACATAGTCCTGCTGGCCTTGGCTGCTGGCCCTAAAACTATGTAATGCTTGACAAGCTTTAAAATTCTGGGTGACTTTACACTCTTTTCATTTATTTGGCATAAAATGAACTTCATTAATATTTTTACATTGTACAATTTAAATTTTCATAAGATATAACTATGCTGTACTGGAAATCATTGCTGAATTGATGTATTTTATACTTTTTCCAACACTATCCGGAACCGTATATTTCTATTTTATTGAATTATTGGATGAGGAAAATGTCAAATTGTATTAAAACTAAAAATATGCATCTTTCTTAATAGCCTGCGACCTATTGTTACAGCCGGACAACCTGGCCTGTAAACCCTGTAAGTACAGCTGTTCTTGTCTTTCAAGTCTTGCCAGCACAGTGGTGCCGGGGTGGCCTCTGGGTGCTCATTCTGGGTCCTTCCTCCTCCCAGTCTGGAAGCCTCGGAACCTGAACATCACTCAGAACGGTTTGGACATGCAGGTGTCTTTTGATCACGCGCCACACACCTTTGGCTTCCGTTTCTTCTATCTTCATTATAAGCTCAAGCATGAAGGGCCTTTCAAGAGAAAGGCCTGTAAACAGGTGAGCTGCTCTCCGTACATTGAGGAATACTACATGTTTAATGTGAACCCTGGGCCCTGGAATTTGGATGATTCAATGTGAATATTAGGCTTTAGTTCAGCAGTTGGTAGATATTCCAGAATGTTATGTCTCAGGGGCGTCCTTCATGCTCTCCAGTTATCTACACTCAGCTATTCCAGTGGTGATGAAGCCTGGGAAAGGTATTATCAAGGAAATAACAGAATTAAATATTTCTAGTTCATTCTGCTCTATTTTAAACATTACTTGGATGCTCGCTGTGTGCCAGTCACCAAGCTTTATGCTCATTGAACCCTTACAACTCTGTGCAACAGAGGCTGCTGCCATCATCCCACTTTACAAATAGGGTGACCTGAGGCTCCATGATGTCACCTGGCTTGCTCAAGGCCATGCAGCTAATCAATGGAAAAAAACACATCTAGGAGCAGTCAGTGGCTTACGATCATACACATAGGCCAAAGTTAAGTAGAAACTCAGCCATCAAGTTTTTAAGCTAAAGGAGGTCAGCAAGAGGGGAAAATGTTTTGTGAAAGTGCACAGGACTGCTAGATCGCCTCTAGCAAGCACCAGGAGAGGTTTTTGGTCATAATAGCAGAACTTAGCACCTTCCTAGACGTGCTTCTGTGTTGTTGAGTTTTGCTTTCCTGCAGGCTCTCACCTCTGTCATTGACCTTCTGCTCAAGTTGAAATTATGGCACATAAAATATGCACAAACATGGGCAGGTAATTCCTTTCCTCACCCTTTCCATAAGTGAAGGGTAGTCTAACTAGCTTCTTTGTCTGCAAATGAAGTAGTCCTGCTGAGGGCACCACTAAGTATAGACTCTGACGGGGTTCTCTGGGCTCTCCCGGGCCTTCTTATCAGAGTAAAGTTCAGATCATGTGTAGCAGATAAACACGGCTGCTTTCTGATCTAATTTATGTATTCTGAACATAGTCACGACTGGTGGCAGGTCTCCTTCAGCTCTGGGGGGAAAAGAGAGGTCCAGATGACCTTTATCCAGGAAGTGAGTTTTAAAAGTGTTGTTTTGTTTCTTTGCAGGAGCAAAATACAGAGACAACCAGCTGCCTCCTTCAAAATGTTTCTCCTGGGGATTATATAATTGAGGTGTGCATAACTCAAGAAAGCCCTATTATTAATTCTACAGAATGAATCTAGTTCATGTAGAATTCCAACTGTTTACAACCCTAAAATTTCAAGCTATTGAGGGTGTGCACAGTTATCTTTTTACATGGTCCTTAATATGCTTTTTAAAAACTTTATATGTAATCAGTCTTTGATTTTTCTCACTCAGTATTTCAAATATTTCATACAAATATTTTTATGAAAACATATAGTCCACATAACCATGATTTAAGAATTTCTATACCATATTCCTTTGTAGGGGAGGAAGAAATTCCTTCTTTCCTCCCTGGGTTCTTCCAGCTGGTTTAGGAATTAAATTGACATGAGGCAGATTAAGGATTTTGAGAAAAAACCCAGAGTCTTATTGAGTACTCACAGAGGCCCAGTAATGAAATTGAAACCCAAAGAAATTACAAAGGCAGGCACAGTTTTTATGCTTTTTGGACAAAGAGATAATAAATTTGTGAGGAATTGACAGGATAAAGAAAATGGATGTTTGGGAACTTTAATTAGTAAGGAATACCAAGTGGGATTTAGGCTGGGATAATAATAAAAAGTAACAAGGTTTGTTTCTATAGCTTTCTCGACCTTGAAGTCCCTATCTCAAACAATAAGGATATCTGGTTTTTTTTTTTTTAAGATTTTTGTTTATTTGAGAGAAAGGAGCACATGAGCTGGGAGGGAGGGACAAAGGAAGAGGGAGAAGCAGACTCCCTGCTGAGGAGGGAGCCAGATGTGGGGCTTGGGATCATGACCTGAGTTGAAGGCAGATGCTTAACTGACTGAGCCACACAGGAACCCCAAGGAGGTCCTTTTTACTTCTCCATACGGTGAGGGTATTTGTCATATGCGAGATGTGTTTCCTGCTTTGAGGGGGACAGAGGGAGGATCTGCTTGTCGTACTGCTTGTTTCCCCAGTAGCTTAGTTTCAAAATATTTACCAATAGGGCATTGTGCTGCCTACTGGGGCCCCTACACCATTAGACTACAAAAATATGTTCTTAAAACCTTGGATTTAAAAACTTTGAGTAGTAAAACAGAAAGGAAAATTATGCCAATTGTATCTGCCTCTATTTCTCTAGTTTTCTACTGACATTTTTCTGTATAAATATACATGAAGTTCTAAATACCACTGAAAAAAGACAGGGGCACGTGGGTGGCTCAGTGGTTGAATGTCTGCCTTTGGCTCAGGTCATGATCCTGGGGTTCCCAGATCTAGTCTCACATTGGGCTCCCCGCGGGAAGCCTGCTTCTCCCTCTGCTTATATCTCTGCCTCTCTCTGTGTGTCTCATGAATAAATAAACAAAATCTTAAAAAAAAAACAAAAAACAAATGGTGTGTGTGTGTGTGTATGTGTGTGTAAATATATATATAAATATATAATTTTAGATTACTTTTCCAGTATCAAACATACTACAAAAACAGGAATAAAAGAAAAATAGAAAAGGAAATTAAAAATTAGTCCATAGCTCTGCTATTCAGAGACCATCAACATGTCTTAACATTTTGGGAGAAACACTGGTTGTATGACTTGGTAGCGGTATGTGGTTTTGAAGTGACACACCCTCTTAAAGCATTCATGGCAGCCCAGGAAAATTAGTGGTAGGATGCCACTGTAATTGAAGATTGTTAGAATGTGGAGCTCACTCGCTGAATTCATCAGTGAATGAACAATGATGGATTCATGCAAGGTGATGAGGTGGAGAGTTTTGAGTTCATAAAGCAGAGATTTATCTGATTTAATATCCAGTTGTGGCTCATAAATGATCCTAGGCAGTAGCTGTTCTTCCTTCTGCCCCTACTGTCCACAGATGGAAAAATGAATGAAATTGGCTGAGATGTTCTCACTTAAAAAAAATAATGATACAGCATCCTCTGTTTTGCAGCTGGTGGATGACACTAATACAACTAGAAAAGTGATGCATTATGCCTTAAAGCCAGGTATGTGTTTTTTTTTTTCCTGTGTGAAATGTTGGCTCTGGACTACAGCAAACCATGCACTTTGATACTTTCTGTACTTCATAATTTGTAAAACCAAAACACATCATTTGAGCCCCTCTCTTTTTAAAAGGTGTTCCATTAGGGGTGCCTGGGTGGCTCAGTCAGTTGAGTGTCCACAACTTTTGATTTCAACTCCAGTCATGATCTCAGGGGTTCCTGAGATCAAGCCCTATGTTGGGCTCCATGCTGAGCATGGGGAGTCTGCTTGAGATTCTCTCCCTCCCACTCCCACTGCCCCTCTCCCCTACTTACTCTTTAAAATAAAAAGGTATTGCATCAAAGCTAACTTTCCTTCCATCCTAATGTCAATGTCTGGGAGACCGAGGCCACTGTGGTTGGTGTGTGTCTGTGTATAGTAGCTGGGACTAAATAGTCACTGGTCCTCGGAAGAAAAGTGGTGGGAAGTGAGGTTTCCTAAGGCTGAATTCTCACAAGTAGTAACTGTGAATTGTATTCTACAACTTCCCCCCTTTTTAAAAGATTTTATTTATTTATTCATGAGAGATGCAGAGGGAGAAGCAGGCTCCATGCAGGGAGCCCGATGTGGGACTCGATCCCGGGACTCCAGGGATCATGTCCTGGGCTAAACCACTGAGCCACTCAGGGATCCTATACTCTACAAACCTTTAAAAGGAATTTTTTGTAATCACCAGACCAATACTAGAGAAATGTGGTCAAGGGGTCCTAGCACCTGTTAGGCAGCTTATGTTTAAAAAGAGAAAAAAGAGGGGTGCCTGGCTGGCTCAGTAGAGCATGTGACTCTTGACCTTGGAGTTGTGAGTTCAAGCCCCATATTTGGTGTAGAGATTACTTAAATTAAAAAATATTAAGGAAGAAAAAAGAAAAGGAGGAATTTCTTTGAACTTGCGCTGCTTATGTTTCAAACCTTCTCTTTGAAATTTCCCAGCACATTCCCCGTGGGCTGGGCCCATTAGGGCTGTTGCCATCACCGTGCCGCTGGTTGTCATCTCAGCATTTGCCACCCTCTTCACTGTGATGTGCCGCAAGAAGCAACAAGGTATCTCTTTGTGTGGTGTGTTCTTCCCAAGTTGGCAGGACACCAGCCAACAGAGAGAGTCAGGTGTCTTTGGCTCCCCCGCCCCCCAAATGGGCATTTGGGAGGCCACATAGGTCCTTTAGTTTCCTAGCATTGAAATACTTGGCTTTTAACCTCCGGAGCCATGAACACGAAGCCATAATCCTATTCCCAGACTCAGGATAGTAAATTTAAGAATATAGATGAAGTCTAAAAGTATGAGTAAGGGTAGAGGTAGGACATCATTACTTATAAAAGACAGGTGTTGGGAGGGAACTTTCTGGGGAGCTTGGAAATGTTTTATATCTTGATCTGTGTGGTGGTTACATAGGTATATACTTAGATAAGAATTTACTGAGATGTACTCTTAAGACTTACGTACTTTAAAGTGTACTTTAAAGTCATCGCTCAGCAGGATTTGCCTTCCCTCCCTCCCTCCCTCCTTCCTTCCCTTTTTTAAGAAGGTCAGCTCTTTTAGTGTTTAATTGGTAGATATACTTGGTTGTGAGACCAGCTTCTGGGTGCTCTCTGCTGACCGGGGTGGTCCCTTCAGTTTTCTTGGCTTACTCAAACTCAATTTCAGGTGAACAACTAATTTTGGCCGTTTGTTGCTCCCCTGGAGAAATCAGCTCTCCTATTTCCAGTGGTGACCCAGGGGCTGGGGAGGTGGGGACTGGATCTCAGGTGTGCATATCAACTGTTGTTTCTTGAAGAGGCATTAGGTCCCGAGTCTTAGGGAACAGGATAAACCATTGGCTCGTAGGCATCAACCCTATCTTCTTTTCCAATTTAGAAAATATATATTCACATTTAGATGAAGAGAGTTCTGAGTCTTCCTCGTACACCACGGCACTCCCCAGAGAGAGGCTCCGGCCGCGGCCAAAGGTCTTCCTCTGCTATTCCAGTAAAGATGGCCAGAATCACATGAACGTTGTCCGGTGTTTTGCCTACTTCCTGCAGGACTTCTGCGGCTGTGAGGTGAGCAATCTGAAGTCTCTTCTCTTCCCCTGGGTAGGACATGTGCTCCCATTGCTCTCCCTTCTATCTCCTTCCCTACAGGCCTCTTTGGGTGACACCTAGGACCTTGCTTCCTTCCAAATTGGGGTCAGCCTCACACTCCTCCCTCAGTCTGCCCTACCTATCACTACCATAGCACTAAATGTTTCCTAATACTTAGTCCTAACCCTGACACACTCCTGCTCAAAAGCCTTTAGTGGCATCTACCTGGTAGGAAGTTTTATAAACATCAAGGAGATCGTGGGCAGCCCGGGTGGCTCAGCGGTTTAGTGCTGCCTTCAGCCCAGGGCGTGATCCTGGAGACCTGGGATCGAGTCCCACGTCAGGCTCCCTGCATAGAGCCTGCTTCTCCCTCTGCCTGTGTCTCTGCCTCTCATGAATAAATAATAAATCTTAAAAACAAACAAACAAAAAAGATCGGGCAGTTGCCTGGAAGGAAATGGCATATCCCTTGAGAACATGTAACAGGAGTAGGGGGAGGGGGTCATTCAGGACACCTGGTGAGCCTTGAACGGCCAAAGAGAGGATGGAAGATAAAACAGTAGGCTTAGATAATTCTTTGGAGTAGTTTTGCTGAGAAGGGAGAATAATAATGTGTCAAGTACTCAAATGGTCAGCTCTGGTTTCTTGACTGTCTCTTGAGTTAAAGCTATTAATATGTAGCTTTTCTATAATGTGATAGTGCTAATTTTCAGGTGAAGTGAAATTTGAAGCTGTCATGGAAGGCACACTCGTTCTTACCAATGCAAGAACTGTACAATAGCTGGGTAATTAAAGTTATTTGTGCTTTGATTACTGCCCACTGGTGGGTGTCTTAGTGTCTCCATGTGGCAAGGCTGCCCCCTAGTGTCAATAATACCTATTTACAAGCTGAAGCTAGGGAGATGCACAGATCCAAACTGCAAACTCCAGCTGGTGCAACACAGTCTTCAGACGGGGACAACCCATGGGCTCTGCTTTGTAACTAACTAGCCTCAGGGGGGGAAGTGTCTTCCAATTATAAGTGTAATACTTGCTGTAGAAAATTTGGAAACAAAGATGACCAAAAAAAAAAAAAATGGCCTATAATCTCAACCTAGAGAAAGAGGAACACAGTTAATATCTGGTCTGTTTGCTTCCAATTTCTTTCTTCACAGATGAACTCATGCATACAGTTTTGCATTTAGGGTAGATTAGAATAATTTTCCTGTCTTTTCATTTAATAACTTTACACTACTGAAAGTTTTATGTAAACTTCAATTGTATTTTATTTTGTAAAGTTTTTATTTAAATTCCTATTAGTTAACATACAGTGTAGTATTATTTTCAGGTATATGATATTCAGCACTTCCATATATCACCCAGTGCTCATCACAATGAATCCCCATTCCGCATTTCTCCTATCTTCCCACCATCTCCCTTCTACTAACCCTCAGTTCTCTATAGTTAAGAGTCTGTTTCTTGGTTTGCTGCTCTCTTTTTCCCCTTTAGGATTCTTCGGCTTCTTAAATTCCACATACAAATGAAATCATATCATGTTTGTCTTTTTTCGACTTATTTTGTTTAGCATAATACTCTCTAGTTCCATCCATGTACGTGCAAATGACAAGATTTTATTATTTTTGATAGCTGAATAATACTCCATTATATCTATATGCATACTACATCTTTATCCATGCATCAGTCGATGAACATTTGGGCTCTTCCCCTAATTTGGCCATTGTTGATAATGCTGCTATAAATATCAGGGTGCATATATCCTTTCAAATTAGTATTTTTATATTCTTTGCGTAAAGATCTAGTGCAATTGTTAGATTGTAGGGTAGTTCTATTTTTGACTTTTTGAGGAATCTCCATAGTGTTTTCCAGAGTGGCTGCACCATGCAATTTTAAACAGCCACGTGATCCATCATATCAACTCTCTATAATTGAGTTATTTCAAATTGCTAAACATCTCAGTAGTTCAATTTTGCCTCATTTCTGATGACTTTGCAGGGATAGAAGCCTGGAAATGGAATTGCTGCATCAAAGATGGGAACATTTAAAAAATGTTTGGTATATACTTCCAGTTAGCTTTTAGAATGTATAATGCAAGGGAATGTAAAGCAATTCAGGATTATTTTCAGCAAGTGAGTGGATGTTGAACTGTGTTCCTTAGAGCCAAAGAAGAAGACAAAGTCATTTCAGAGCCCCCTTCCCCATTAGAGACTGTGGCTCTCATTCAGGCATATAGCCACTGAGGATTAGTTTTTGAACTACAGAAAGAAAGAGGCTGGTAAAACTGCCAAGAGACATTTTTAGCAGAATCAGATGAAAATGGTCTAAGAAGGTGAAGCCCTCTGAGGGGCACATGCATGCCTGGTTTTCTCTCCTTTCTTGGTGCCTCTCCCTCTCACCCCCTCCCAGAACCTCCTTTGGATGGAAGACCTTATATGGATATGATGCCCCATAGACTGCTTATGAAGTCATGGTGGGAGGTGCCACATCACTCACAAATGAGTTAACCAAAGTGGCTGTCCTCTTTGTTCCACATGCTCTCTGGATGTGAGTCCACCAGCCTTGTGGGCAAGTCTGGCATGCAGACCTGAGCCTCTTTCCTGCCTGCTTTGGGGTCCTGCACCCAGTTTCATCCATCATCACCTTCCATCACCAGTCAGCTCCACTCATCACACAGACTGACCCCAGTGTGCACATTGTCTGTGGTCACTAGCACAGAGTCCCTTGAAGGCCTCACTTGTGATATGTGACTTTGGTAGGTTGCTAGAAGCTCTGTGCATCCATCTTCTCCCTGGTGGGGTGAGATCAGGAATGGCTCCGTGTCAGGCAGAAGCAAGGGCACAATGCTGGAGTCCTGGCATATGACTGTCACCCATAGAACGTTAGCTATTCTGGGACCCCGGCACCCTGGAGCCTGCACACAGCTGTGCCGCTAATACTTAAAGGATGGATAATGTGACTCTCTTGTAACACTCTTGTTTTTGTTACCCGAGTCTCCTCTCCAGGCTGTATAGGTGAGTGAGGTCCATGTTCTCTTTCCAGGTGGCTCTGGACCTGTGGGAGGACTTCAGCTTGTGCAGAGAAGGGCAGAGAGAATGGGTCATCCAGAAGATCCACGAGTCGCAGTTCATCATCGTGGTGTGTTCCAAAGGCATGAAGTACTTTGTGGACAAGAAGAACTACAAGCACAGAGGTGGAGGCCGGGGCTCGGGAAAGGGTGAGCTCTTCTTGGTGGCTGTGTCGGCCATCGCAGAAAAGCTGCGCCAGGCCAAGCAGAGCTCCTCAGGCCAGCTCAGCAAGTTCATCACCGTTTACTTTGATTACTCCTGCGAGGGAGACGTTCCCGGCGTCCTGGACCTGAGCACCAAGTACAAGCTCATGGACAACCTTCCCCAGCTCTGTTCCCACCTGCACTCCCGAGACCACGGCCTTCCAGAGTCGGGGCCGCACCCCGGGCAGGTGAGCAGAAGGAACTACTTTCGGAGCAAGTCGGGCCGCTCCCTTTACGTGGCCATTTGCAACATGCACCAGTTCATCGATGAGGAGCCCGACTGGTTTGAGAAGCAGTTCGTTCCCCTCCGCCCTCCCCCGCTCCACTCCCGAGAGCCGGTGCTGGAGAAGTTTGACTCGGGCTTGGTGTTAAATGACGTCGTGTGCAAACCAGGGCCCGACAGCAGCGATTTCTGCCTCAAGGCTGAGGCTGTGGCCCCTGGGGCGCGGGCCGACTCGCCCTCCGAGGGCCCGCACTTGGGCCTGGACCAAGACACGGAGGTGGGGCCTGGGCCCGGCGGGGGCTCGGTCCTGCGGCCCCTGCTGCACGCCGTGAAAGCCCCCGGCCCCTCGGACATGCCTCGGGACTCGGGCATCTACGACTCGTCCGTGCCCTCCTCGGAGCTGTCCCTGCCCTTAATGGAAGGACTGTCGGCAGACCACACAGAGACATCTTCGCTGACAGAGAGCGTGTCGTCCTCCTCTGGCCTGGGTAAGGTGCGGGGGGAGCCGAGAGTGCCTTTGGATTGGGTTCCTGATGCAGGCCACAGCCTTTGTCTCTAGTTCCCAAATCCATGAGAGTGTCTCCCTACTTTTGCTGCACACTTACTGGCACTGAATCCTTATGGGAGGTTACAGACTCCATTGATAGTCTTGATTTATTCCAGGCAATGGGAATGTTCCCATGTGTGAACTGCTGGAATACTGAGGCTCAGTTATGGTGAGCGGCCCAGTCCCTGCAGGAGGTGTTATGAAACATACGGTGTGTGCATTATATCACCTTCCTGAACTCTGCAGGCCTCTGGCACCAATAGGCAGCTTGCCCCAAGGATATTGGTGTGTGTGGGGGGGTTCTGTGGACCTTTATCTTTGCTGGGATTTGTAATGTCCACCATCCCTCACCTATGCCAGTGACTTAAAAGCCATGTCTTTTAATAATCTTGGGATTGGTGGACACGGTGTTTGCTCCATCAAAGCTCAGCCCAGGGCCAAGTGGGAGGGCTCTGAAGGAGAGTTCTGTCTCCCCAGGGAGCACCAGCAGGATGCCACCTGGGGCTTCTCCTTACAGTGTCTGTGGCTAGCTGGAGCATGCATGCAAACCCTTGGCCCTCAACTAAGGGAACCTGCCAACAGGTTGACAGTGCCCTGTCTTGAGTTGGTTGGTAGGCCTGCCTCACTTGTAAAGCCAGATTCAACCACATTCTGGCCTTAGCACCTGCCCCAGTGAAGTACGATGACGTGTGGCTCTGCCCTGTTTTCTTTCCTTAGGTGAGGAGGATCCTCCTGCCTTCCCTTCCAAGCTTCTCACATCTGGGGCGTGCAAAGCAGAGCCTGGTTGCTGCAGCTACACTGGTGAACTCCATGCGGTCGCCCCTTTGTAACAAAATGGAAGAGTCTAAGCATTGCCACTTTAGCTGCCGCCTCTCTCTGGTCCCCCAGCATTTCTCTCTGGTTGCGCAGTCCACTTGGAGCTGAGGTCTCCTGCAAGGATACTTGGAGTGAAATTTGGGCCAGTACTTGCTCTCCTTGCCCCATCCCTCTACCTGATATCTTGGCAGAGTCTCCAATTTTCTAAAACTGTATGGATCTCTGAAAGGCATGTCCATAAGGTCAGACCTTGGATTAGAGCCAATTCTGGGAGGTAGGAGGATATATGCACAGAGAAACAGCAACGTACCTGCACTGATTATTCAGATTGTATTTATCTCTGCAAACTTTGCCTGTTTGCTGTTGGCTACTTTGATTTGAAATGCTTTGTGGAAGAAGCACTTTTAGTACCATTATAGCCACAGAAGTCAAGTGCCAGTATATCTGGAATCCATGTTGTTACAGATGATGATCTTGTCTGGTTTTGGTATAGAATTTACAGTACTATGGATGTTAAAAAAGCTGAGTCGAAGGTTGAGAAAGTAACTGACTATACTATCACCTTTCATGAAATAAGTCTCTATGTACTAGTGGTGCCATAGCTGGCTGAGGTGGGGGCTGCAGGGTCAGGCTTACCATGCTGACAGTTTTTTCTGACATGGGCTGGTCATTGCACAGAAAGCACCATAACTCAGGACACAGGACCACCTCTTGGTTTGAGTAGGCATCATGTGGGGCCCAGATCTGCATGCCAAGTTTCCTTGGGTTCCATTTACTGTGCAGTATCTCAGATGTTGCTGCCTGGAAGTTTATTTTTAAAAGACTAATACCCAACTGAGCTGTATTACTGGAAGCTGGAGTTCATGCTTCAGTTGGCTTCTGATCTAAAGCTGTGTCCAGAATATTAGGGATCAGAATCAATTGAAATATGGCAGTGTGTGCAGGTGGCAGCCACTTGATCTGCTGAACTGGTTTCACCTAATGAGAAGTCGCATTTTAAGATGGTGAGGAGAGATCTGTCACAAAGATGAGTGTGTGCTTCTAATACCGTCTGAAGAAGACATGAGACCTGAAATCATTGAATTCTTGAATCTTAAAGGACTCCCTCCCAACAACCCAGCCTGTGAATCATGTTTCACTTCGTGTTTCTGTTGTACTTACCCAATGAAAGATTTGTCTCTTGTGCTCTATCCTACCAAAAATAGCTATCTAGAGCTTAGAAGGAAAATATTTGCTTTAAAAAAAGGAAAAGTAAATGTTCTGTTTCTATGAATGATGATTCTACAGAATTTGTTTCCAAAGGAAAAATAGTTGTTCAAATCTTGTTTGTTTATTAGCATGTAGGTAATGATACCTTGGTCTTCCCTGTGAAAAGCCTTCTTCCCATGTCCTTGAGGGGTTGTGAGGATCTTTCTCCATGTTTTTCATGGGTGTTGCTGGATTTTGGCACCCTGCTTTTACTCAGCATTCACACAGGGGACCTTGGGTTTCACTCCTCTAGCAAATACGACCAATATGAAGGGAGATGAGAAACCTCTCAAGGAGGGGTGGGAGGTGGAAGGGGGCATGACTTTTCCACCGAAGCACATGCTTGGCAGGTGGGGAAGGGAAGGTTTGCAGCCTTGCTGGAAAGAAGAGGTTTGTGTGTATTTTTGATGCAAATGCCATACTCCATGTTCTGTAAAGGCAGCTGACGGCCTTGGGAGAAGAACGTGCTTGTCTGTTCTACCGGCATCGAATTTCCTGCAGCTGCTCTGAAGGGGAGACAAGTGAGATGCAGAACCGTCTCCCCCATAAAGCCAGGCATCTTGTTGGAGAAGAGATGTTCCATGTCACTGTGGAATCTGGGACAAGTGCAGAGCTCCTGCCCATGTGTGACTGTCCTGCCATTCCATCATCAGGTTAAGTTCTGCAAGGGAGATTGGTCAGTCCAAACTTGCCAGCATGAAAATTCACTTTGGAACATTATCAGGAAGATTGAGGCCAAGAAATGATGCATGCTCCAAAGGAAACATGAAGAGCTACTTTTAGGATATTCAACTTTGCACATAAAATGAAGCATCTCTGAGAAAGTGACCCCAGGAACAGCATGGAGGGGTGCCGGGTGCGGCAGGGAGCATTCAGCTGAGCTCCATGATCGTGGGCAGGGAGCTTGCTAAATGAACTTAACTTCTTATGAAAATGCAAGGGAAAAATATGCTAGACCAAAAATCAGGTAAAATTGTAGTTTGGATTTAGGGTTTAGATGGTTATTTTCAAGTACTAATTTCTTATGTTCAACACAATTAAATTCTAACATACCGAGTAGCAAAACCATAGTGCGAAGGCCTAAGTCAGACTAAGTTGAGATGTTCCAACTTTGTGGTTTTGCTTTATTAGCTTCATTTTTTTTTTTTTTAAACCCTCCAATCTCGTGCTGGGAATGAGAACAGTTGCCTTGTAGATTAAGGCAAAACATCTGTTTTAAGCAGAGCTGCATTCTTTGACTGATACTGTCCTGGGTAATTGAAATGCTAAGACAGAATTCAGATAAAACTTCTGCCAAATTGCAGGCTTTTAGAAATTTTAGAAACAAGAATTAGAATATAGGGATGACCTCAATGAAAAGCTAAGAGGCTTGTGTGGCTAAGTTAGCTGGTGTCCTCTGCGCAGGAGACCAGAGGTAGATGCAAGGAGCCAGGTAAGCAGATCTCGAAGGTAGTTGAAGGTAGGGAGCTAGTCGTTCGTCTTAACTCACCAGTGCCCTACAGAAAGGACTTAGCATTTGACATAGCTTTGCAGAGTGGGGAGGTATCAGAGAGGCAGAAGCCTGGGTAAAGGTGTGCTTTTCTCCCAGGAATTGGCTACAAGCAACCAGAACTTACCCAGACAGACCTGGCCCAGCCACATAGTGGGGGCAGAGTGTCCTCCAGAGGGCCAAATCCTGGGCCTTTTGAGGCACATTGATCTTCAGAAAGAATCTGAAGTCATTCAGGTCCAGGCTCAGGTATTCAGGTTGGGTGACCCAGCCAGGTAATAGCATTTTGAGCCAAAAAATGAGACAGGGCCTTAAAATCATGAGACAGGTTTTGGTTGACACATGAGTAATAATTGAAGACAGTCCCAGAGCACAAGTTCACAAAGTGTTTTTAGCAACTATGACATCATTGGAATCAACGCATAGTAATTTCAGTGTACATAAGTTGTATATTAGAGTTCAGTCTTGCCACTTCATAGCTGCAAATGTCTTTTTTTTTTCTTTTTTTGAACCAACCCCTAATCTCAGGTTCCCTGATTTAAGCACAAATAAACAGGAAGACTGTCCCTTCAAAAATGTCGAGTTACTTGATTTTCGGAACTTTTCCTTTCTTCAGACTTAGGCATCTTTTAGAAGAAAAAAAAAGAAGGAAAAAAAACCCTATTTTATTCCTGGAGAAGAAATGATATACCCTCTTCTTAAAGAAAACCCCGTAGTCCCCAGTAGCCTCAGCACTAATTTGGCTCTCTTAGAGGGGAGAATTATTCTTTGTGTCCTTACTGGAAAGGGGTAGACAGTACCAATGTGAAAGTTATTAGCCTTTTCTGTTTTAAATTGTGAAGACTGCTGCTCTTACTTAGCAGATGCTATGCCTTCGAGGGTAGCCAGTGCAGCAGGCCAGGAATAATGATAAATAAGGTATGGTGATAAATGGCAATGACCTACCTTCTCAGTGTCAGAGAGGCCATAGGGCATGGCGAGGACTGTGGCAAACTGAAGCGCTTCCTGTCCCACCTCTAGGAAGGCAGCTATTCCAGTCAGTTGTGGCCATGTGGTACTTACTAATTTTCCCATTTTTCAAGAGAAGCTGAGAATCTGGATTTTTTTTTTTTTTTTTTTTTTTTTTTTTAAGTAGACTCCATGCCAGTGTGGAGTCCAATACAGGGCTTGAACTCATGGTTTCAAGATCAAGACCTGACCTAATCAAGAGTCAGATGCTTAACCCAACTGAGCCAGGCACCCAGGCACCCCGAGAATCTGGGTTTTTATGTGAAAAATTATAATTTTTTTAGAGTGTTGGCAGCTAAATAATTTTTTTTTCAATTCAGGATCAACAGAACACATGAGCGGGCCTGATTTGTCCCCTAGCTGCCAGTTTGCCACCTCTGCCTTGTAAGATTTGAAATGAAAAGCATTCATGGTGATTACGGATGTCTGGTATCACCAGAAAATGCTCTCTCACTAAATGCAGCTGATGGCTAGATTGCTTTTTCCCCAACTTGCTCCCCCAAAGAAGTCTGATAGGATTGTGAATGTATTTGAAATATTTTGATTGCTTCTTTACATTTCATGGTGCCTTAAGAGAAAGGCAAGCCAGTTACTAATTTCAAAATCAGATTTATGTTCTCCAATTTTAAAAACATAACACTTGGAACAATTTTCACTTAAACTCCACAATCTAAAGGACCTATTTATAGCTTTAGTTCTTGGGTTAATAATTCTTTAAATGATGTGCAATTCTGAATTTAGCCCAAGGCTTAATGAGAAAAGCAGGGATTGTGGGGAGAGGGGCAAGGAATCCCAAGTGTCCACTAGAGCCAGGTATTTGCATTGTCTTCTGTTTTAAATGATCTGTGAATTGACTCTGTTTTGGAGATGTGAAACAGTATATGGAGAAAAGCTTTTCCTGATACTGAGAGATCAGTTAGGAGTCCTCATGGGGTGTTGGGTCATCCTTTCTATGTCACCTCCTTTCCAGGCTCAGGGTGGAAATAAACAAAAGGAAGTCTGACTGTAAGCCAATAGCTTGGATTCCAATTTCAGAGTTTTGGAGCTGGGAGAAAGTTTGGATCATCTAGCATGTTTCCCCGCTCTGGTGTCAGCCAGGGCTGAGCCTGAATTATTTCAGACATATGGCTATGGATGGGATTCTGGATTTTCAGTGAGGGAAATTCAGTAACCTACCCTGCTGATCAGATAGTTCTTTGTACGTCTTACAGAAATTCAAACCAGCTTTCTTTTGTTCTGCATGTAGTGGAAAAAGAACAGCTGGTTACCTTCCGTGTATTTGGAAACCACAGTGAAGTCATCCCCCTGGTAAATAATCCCACCTACTTAAACCATTCTTCATAGCTCTTGTTTTGCAAGGGCTTGATAATTTTCACTGCTCTTCTGTGTCTCAGCTTCATGCTCCATTTGGTTGTGCAAACAGAACATGGTGCCTTATTCACATTGGTGCCTTGTGGAGGCCAAGCTCTGGATGGGGATTATAGGGAAATCCTCATGTGCCCGGCTTCTCTTACTATTTAAAACTATAATGGCACTTTTAAGAAGTGGTATATTGCCTATATTAATTCTGAGGATTACTTGGTTGCCACATCCATCCCCCTGCCCAGCAATAGCCTGTTATGTTTTTCCCCGCTCCTGTGATCAGATACTTGGTGCTTATTCCTGAGCTTCTTCAAGATACTCTTCAAGACTAGCTCTTACCATCTGAATGGCAGCTACCCCTCCCTCACAATTTTGGATTCTATTTTTACGTATCTCTAAACATCACCTTTAATTCATGACTCACAATATTATGAAATGGTTTGGACTTCAGTTTAGCCCCTGGTGAGATACAGAGCAGTTGCTAAGAACTGATTTGCAAAGAGAGTGAGGGAGGACCTCCTGGGGAATTTTGGCCAATTGTCTTCCCTCCTGTTCTTTGGTTTCTCCCTGAAATTCATCTGGGACCACAGACTCTTCAAGAGCTTTCCTGTGTTCTGAAGTCATGATTCCAACTCTGGCTAGAGTCATGGCTCTGAATGGACTCAACACTGTGTTTTCCCCAGTCAGAAGCCTGACAAGAGCAAACCAATTAACGATCGTGTCTGATGTTTATGTCAAGTAAAATTTCAGTCGAGAAGATTCAAAGAACCATACTCCTGTTTGTACACGATGTAGACAAAGTTGCCTGCTCCATCCATTAGATGAAAAAACTACCATCGGGTCACACTCATGTGTAACTGTTATTTAAAAGTTTCATTTTTTTCCTCAAGAAAAAACATGGTGAGTCTGGACAGAGCAAAAACTTTTGTAAAAACCACATGTGTTCATTTAGAGATTAGGTAACTTCTATTTTCACTTTTTTTTTTTTTTTTTACTACAGAAGCTCCCTGTACTACGTTCTGGGGGAAAAGCCTGTGGAACATGAACATGGTGGTTGTTGTCATTGTCTTTGTTTCTTCTTTAAGATTGTCATTGGTGGGGTTTGGTGGAATAGTGAGCACTGACAGACTGTAGCAGTGTGCTATATTTTTACATTGAAAACAGTGTCTTATTTGATTTGTACATAACTGTAAATAGGTGGCAGTAGGTCACAGCTGAGAATTGCAAAATGTTGTTTTTGTACCTTAGAATTTCTGCACCGAATAAAATGTTTTAAGATTGCAGTGGTTCATTGTTCTACATCTTTCCTGTTTGCTGAGGAGCTGGGTTCCTAGTACAGTTTTCTGAGGGCTCTGCCTCTGAAATGGAGAGAGATTATTCAGGGTGAGGAGGAGAGGGTGGCCAGTAGGTCTTGCACATGAAATCTGCTGCCTTGACCATTTACTTTGCCTTCTGGCAGCCAGGAGTGTATTGCCTGTGTGGAGTCAAGAGCAGGGATATTCATGTCAAGGAGAAATTTGACTGTCATAACAAATAGACCTTTTCAGAAATTTGAAAAGAGGAATGCCCAGGTGGCTCAGCTGATGGAGCATCTGACTCGGTTTTGGCTCAGGTGGTGATCTTAGGGTCCTGGGATTGAGCCCCATGTTGGGCTTCCTGCTCAGCGGGGAGTCTACTTCTCCCTCTCCCTCTGCCCCTTCTCCTGCTCGCTCTCTGTCAAGTAAATAAAATCTTTAAAAAAATTTTGAAAAGAGGCACTGAAATGTGGGAGCCACGAATGTCCGGCTATCCAGTTAGAAGAGTCCTTTCATGCTGTTGCACATTCTCTCACCTTCTGTGTGCTAGTGCTCTGTGAGTTAACTTCTTTGGTGCCCATCAACATGGGAGTCTGTTTTTGCTCTGCTTCTGCTGCTGTGACCCTGTGGCTGCACTTCTGGGCCTCAGTTTCTCACCTCTAGAATTGGCCAAAGGTCCTCCCTCGCAGGGTGGTGAATGGGAAGTGCCTAATGGCACATAGTTAGTGCTCCAAAAATGACAGGGATCCAGGAGAGGACAATGAGTTAGTAAGAAAGAGCAAGGACACAGAACACAAACCTCCTGGCCATTGCCTGGAAAAACTATAGTGGAAGTGAAGTGTTCAAAGCATTGGGTTTTCCTCGTTTGCTTCCCTGCCTATAACATTGGTGGGTGGCAGGAAGGAAGTGAGGACAGACCATCATGGAATATTAGTTCATGCTATGTGTGCTTTTTGTGGCTCTTCTCACCACAACCCAGCATACTAAACACAACAAACAACATACATCTTATTTTTGAGATTGTGAGGCCTGGAAATCAGGTAGTTTTGCCAAGAGTGCAACCAAGGAATCGGCAGCACAGAGATTCAGATATTTGATTGAAGCATCTTCACTCCTAGCCAACAGGCTCCCCTATCTTTCAATATAGTTTATAGGGTCAAGAAAGGACCTGGAGTAGCAAGTTATGGTGGCTTGGTTCCCTTATCAATCCAAATACTGAGAGTAAATTTGTTAGCAGGTTAAGCAAATGGATCTAAAGGGACTTGATTAGAAGAACCTTATTAGGCAGATGCTGCAGTAAGTGAATTCTAATTAGTGGGGGGGGGGGAATTCCTCTGAACAGAGAGAAACCCTAATTTTTACCACAGCCATAGATAACAATCTGTTTTTACAGCGGCTTCAGGGTTTCTTTTCTTTTCTTTTTTTTTTTTTTTTCTTAGGTTTTGGTTGTTTTTTGGTGGTTGTGTGTGTGTGTGTGTGTGTGTATTTTTTTAAAAGTAATCTCTACACCCAACATGGGGCTCAAATTCATGGCCCCAAGATCAAGAGTTGAATGCTCTACCAACTGAGCCAGGTGCTCCTGTTCAGGGTTCTTGTAATTGCCAACATCTGTGGGGCCTTTGCACTGGTTTTACTTTTAGAAATGCAAACTTTAAAGGTAGCAAAGACAAGCTTCTCTTGCAGGCTTTAATTAGAAGAATTCATTTGGTTTAGTTGAGTAAGAAACTACTGGCAATAAGCTAAGCCAATGGAGGAGGGAGACATAAAAATGTATCTTTGCTGTCCTGGGCATAAGTGGGTCTTCAATAAATGTCTGTTTCCCACCCCTACCCCCAGCATACCCTGTCCTCCCCTGTCCACAGGAACAAAACCAGAAGTGGTCCAAGAGGTAGAGGATGCAGGGAAGAAGGGAAGGACACAAACGTGAGGTAAGACCTTTTGCAATGAAACAATTCAAATAGGATCTTTAGGATTAAGGGAAAGTAATGCAAGATCAGGGAGTTTGGCTCCCTGGTCTCTTTCTGCTGGTGGGGGGCGATGTTGCATCAACTTTCACATTTATAGATGATATAACCCTCTTACAACATCTGAGAGTCTGTAGTGGGGATACAGTAATAGGTAAGATGCAAACATGATCCCTTCCCTCCTGAGTCCACCCTCTTTGTATATATGAGAGTGTAGGCAAGTCATCTAATTGCTCTGAGCCTGTTTTTCCATCTGTGAGACAGGACTAATACTCGTTGCATAGAGGTTATTGTGAGGATTAAAGGAGATGGGGGTCTATAGAGCACCGGTGGCCATGCTTGGCAAGGGCCTGGCACTTGGTAAATAGTGGCTTATTAATCATTTTGTGGAAGAGCAAGCCTTGGGTTCTGTGGGGATCAGATGGAGATGGGTAGGAGACAGTTCCTTGCTCATAGGACCTTCA